ATGACAACTTCTCCACACCAAAGTTCCTTGCTTATGCCACAACCTTTTGCAATCTGGCTTAACCCTACCACTCTAATGGGACTGTTCTCCTAAGATTTCCCAAAGACACTGTCTACAAACTCCTTCTCCACCAGTCTCCATTTTTCTTGGCCAGCCAGCCAACTTGAATCTTCCAGTCTCTACTTCCTTCGTGTAACACACTCCTCCCCAGGCACTCCAGGCCACGGTACTGTGTCCCTTACTGAGCTAATATAATCACATGGCTTCGAGTTCAGTTCCACCAGAAATTTGGTGTTTACATAGCAGGTCCTAAAGAGTTTTGAGTAGGGAGGTGATCACAGCTGTGCTCGCAGAAAATTAATCCTGTTGCCTCATGAAGGAAAGAACAAAGCAAGCAAGCCAGATTTGAGGCTACTATAGTAGACTCCCAGGAAGCTAGTAATAAGAAGTAAATCAAGACAGATGTCCAAAAAGAATCAATAGGATTTGACTGAAAAGTCATATCCTTCAAAGTTTAGTTCACCAGCCCTGTGCACCCCCTGCCCACAAATCCACTGATCATTCTAGTTAGCAACCACTCAAACTCAAAACCCTTCTAACAATCACACACAACTGTGACACTGATCGGCAGAGTTTGGGGGCATATCCATATTCCTCTTGGGATTCTCCAAAGTGCCAAGTACCCAGTAAATGCTCATTAAATACTGGTTGATAAGACACTATTCTGGTCACCATTACTGAGGTCTATTTCAGTTTTCATATAATTCTATAAATTCAGATGCATATAAAGAATTTACTGATGTACTGAGAATTATATTGTTTTATGATCTCCTTCAGCTCACAAGCTTCATGATAGTCACAAACTAAATGTCCAACAATAGGAAAATGCTTAAATAAAACATAGTCCCAATCAATAAAGGTAGAAAAAATAAAATAGAGTATCGCCATTTTGCAACTACCGATAAAATAATGGATCTAAGCAGTGGTTTGCTGGAAAAAACTCATGCCAGCTTGTGAGAGCCAACTGTGTGCATCTGTTCCAACCTCCACATTCAGTAACACATCAGTAGGAATGAAATTAGCCGTGGCAGGAGTGTTTACACCATAAAAATTGGCAAGTGGCCGGTTGTTAAGCATCTGCTGACACACCACTGGATGTAGGCAATGATGATCAATAGCTGATAAAACCATTATTTGAAAGGTCGCTGGGATCTTTATCATAACACATGGATCAGGCTAATACTAGGTAAATGCACTAATCAATCAAACATCACAAAAATAAAGGCATTAGACACTAGAGATCTCTTAATGTGGTGCAGTAAGAAGTACACAGCATCTCTAGGTAGTATTCTTGTCAAAAATCTAAACTAACTCTAATCAAGCCTAGACCTACCTATCATTTTCTAGGAAATACAGGGGATGGAAGAACAATCAGCAAAATACAGAATGTGGAAAAAGTCTACAGGGTAGATGATTTTTTATGAATAAATGAATAGCAAAGAGAAAAAAAAAGACTGAGAGAAGAACCTATCGGTTAAGAGACTTAAGATATACCAAAAAAAGTGCAATGTGCATGTAGCCCTTGTTTGAATTCTGATTGGAACAAGCTAGTATAAAAAGATATACTTGAGACAATTCAGGAAATATGAACACTGGCCAAATATTAAATGATATTAAAGAATTGTTAATTTTGTTATGTATGATAAAGGTATTGTGCTCAAGTATTTTAAGACCTTATCTCCTAGAGAGATATATAAAGAGTTTATATATAAAATCATATGATATTTGGGATTTGCTTCAAAATAATCTGGGGTGGAGGTTCTCAACTTTTACATAAATTTGAAATTTTTCATAACAGTTTTTAATAGAGTAGCCAGCATATAGATGATATATAAAAGAAACATAAAATTATCAGTACTGACATGGTTATCTCCAAGAAATAATGTATAATGTATATAAAAAAGGCATGAAGAAAACATGCATAATGTGATGAAAATTATTTTAAAGACGATTTAGAATTGTATCAAAAAGAATAAAACTTTTAGGAATACATGTAACAAAAGAAGTGCAAGACTTATATACTGAAACATTGTTGAAAGACACTTAAAGACCTAAATAAATGCAAAAACATACTGTATTCATGCATTGGACAACTTAATGTTATTAAAACAGCAATACTAACCAAACTGATACACAAATTCAATGCAAGCCCTACCAAAATCCCAGCTGACTTTTTGTTTTTGCAGAAATTGACAAGCTGATCATAAATTTCATGTGGAAATGCAAGGGACTCAGAATAACCAAAACAATCTTGAAAAAGAATAAAGCAGGAGGACTCACACTTCCCAATTTCAAAACTTACTATAAATCTACAATTATCAAGACACTGTGGTACCGGCATAAGGATAGACCTATAGACCAACGGAACAGAAATGAGAGTCCAGAAATAAATCCTTATGTTTATGGTTAATTGATTTTCAACAAAGGTGCCAGGAAAATTAAATGGAGAATTAATAGTCTTTTCAACAAATGGTACTGGGACAACTGTATATCCACATGCAGAAAAATGAATTTGGACTCCTATCTCATGCCATATAAAAAAATTAACTCAAAACAGAACAAAGACCTAAATGTAAGATCTAAAACTGTAAGACTTTGAGAAGAAAAGAGGAGTGTTTGTGACCTAGAGTTAAGCAGTCATTTTTTAGATATGACAGCAAAAGCACGAGCAACAAAAGAAAAATACATAAATTAGACCTCATCAAAATTAAAAACTTTTCTGATTCAAAGGACACCATCAAAAAGATGAAAGGACAACCCACAGAATGAAGGAAAATATTTGTAAATCAAGTATCTGTAAAGGAAATTTTATGCAAAATATATAAAGAACACTTACAAATCAACAATAAAAAGACAACTCAATTTTTAAATGAGCAAAGATTCTGAATATTCTCCAAAGACAACATAAATATGACCAATAAGTACATGAAAAGATGTATAACATCATTAGCCATTAGAAAATGCAAATCAAAATCACAACACCACTTCATGCGCACTAGGATGGCCAAAATTAAAAAGGCAATAACAAGTGTTTTGAGGATGTGAAGAAACACAATTGGAATCCTCATAAATTGCTAATGAAATAGTAAATTGCTTCCGCTGCTTTGGAAAATACTTCAGTAGATCCTCAAAATGTTCAACATAGAGTCACCATATGAACCAGAAATTCCAGCCCTACCTATATACTCAAGAGAAAGAAAAAATATGTTTACACAAAAACTTAGACATGAATGTCTATAGTAGAATTATTCACAATAGTCAAAAAGTGGAAACAACCCAAATATCAAAAAATGTGGTTTATCCATACAATGAAAGATTATTCAGCCATAAAAGGAATGAAGTATTGATTCATGCTACAACATGAATGAACCTTGAGAACATTATACTAAGTGAAAGAAGCCAGTCACAAAAGACTACATATTGTATGATTCCATTAATACAGAATTCCGGAATGGGCAAATCCATAGAAACAGAAAGTAAGTTAGTGGTTGCCAAGGGATAGGGGAAGAAAAGGGAGGAATGGGAATGATTGCTCATAGGTATGGGGTTTCTTTTGGGGGTGATGAAAATATTCTGAAATTACATAGTGCTGATGGTTATATAACACTATGAATATACTAAATATCACTGAATTGTGCACTTTAAAAAGCTGAATTTTATAGTATATGGGTTACATCTCAATAAAGCTTTCATTTAAAAAAAAAACTGCCCAGACTGCCAAATTGAACCCTTGGCTAGCTGTGCACTGTGGACCCAAAAGTTTGGGATGGGTCAGAAATCCCATAGTCCTACTAGATTTTAAAAGAAACAAGTAGCACTCACAGGAAAAACACAATAAGGAAATCTATAAGGTCAGAGCTGCTTGTGTGGCCAAATTCATCTTTTAGAGAACCTGAAAGGTAAGTTTGGTATTAGGAACATCTCTTACTTAAAAAAACATCTGTTACTCAAACTTACCCAAGCAGTTTACCTACTTCTTAAGTTACAGAAACAAATATTCATTTATAGAAAACCCAGGAAAGACTTCTCAATTCGCCACTCAATAAACACAGCCACTTCCAAGTTAAGACAGAGCCCTTACCACGACGTTTTACCCAACTATACATCTCACAATGTAACCTTTGGGAGGTCGTCCAGAACTACTCCTCAGTGTTGGAAGGGCACTGAAATGGAATCTGAAGAACACATGAGAGCTTAAAAGGCTGCTCAGAGCCGGGTGCAGTGGCTCATGCCTGTAATCCCAGCATTTTGGGAGGCCGAGGTGGGTGGATCATGAGGTCAGGAGATCGAGACCATCCTGGCTAACACGGTGAAACCCCATCTCTACTAAAAATACAAAAAATTAGCCAGGCATGGTGGCGAGGTGCCTGTAGTCCCAGCCACTCGGGAGACCAGGCCAGACACAGGAGAATCGCTTGAACCCGGGAGGCAGAGGTTGCAGTGAGCCGAGGTCGCACCACTGCACTCCAGCCTGGGTGACAGAGCGAGACTTAAAAAAAAAAAAAAAAAAAAAAAAAAGGACTCAGAACACTTCTGTCATTTCAGCTGCATTCCAGGAGGTGGTAGCAGATGGTCATAAAGACACCCTGAATACAGAGTCGTAGGGAAGTCTGAGATAGGTAAACTCAGGCAGGAAAGACATCTCTGGTACTCTCAGATACCATCATTGCAGCTAAAGAGTGAAAAGCAAATTTCTTATAATAGGTGACATCTGTACATGAGCCAAAATTAAAAAGATACAAATAGGCATTCAACAGAAAGTCAGCTTGTTTCCCAGTCCTGTCCTCAGTCATACTGTTCCCCTTCCCCAGAGGCAACTATCATTGCCAGTTTCTTTAGCATCATCCTGAAATTGTCTATACATTTATAAACATACACATTCTGCACCATGCTTTTGTCACTTAATTTATCTGAGGTAGCTCTCCATGTAGTATACGTACCTGTTCTTTTTAACAGCTTCATACAATTCCATAGGATGATGTACCATAGTTTCTTAACCATGGAATGAGTTGTTATTATCAGTATATCTAAAGCAGAGACAGGAAATTAGCTACCCATGGACAGACACTAGCCCCGGATGTGTTCTGTTCAGCCATCACAATGGTTTTAATGTGTGGATCTCAATGTATTCGGCCATATGGGGTGTGGTTAAAAAAAAAAACAACTGACCATCAACATCCCCTTCTCCTTTTTTGCAGTAAGAAGGGTATTTCTGGGAAATGGCTGCCCTGCCAAGGACTACATTTCCCAGCTGCCTGGCAACTAGGTCTATCCATGGGCCTACGTCTCCCCAGCTAGATTTGAGTGGAACTGATGAAAATGCCCAGTCTGAAACTTTAAAGGAAGGCTATGTCTCCTCCACACCATATCTGCCCCTTCTGCCAGGCAGATTCTCAATGACTGGAACAAGGCAGAGCTAAGGCTTTTTACTGTCACCATGGAAACCTCAGGCTACAAACCTCAGGCATGGCTTTGAGAAGAGGCAGGTCTGAATCAAGAGTGGAAGAGAGGGGTAGTTCTTACTGTCTCCGTGGACAGAAGAAACCCTTTTTTATGAAAAAAAAATCACCTCATGAAAGTAACTGTTTCATTGAGGAAAAGGAGATTAGGTACCAGCTTAGTGTGATTTTTCTTACAGGAATCTCAGTAATAAAAGATGTTTCATAGCTATAAATACAGAGCTATAAAATCCAAACATCACTAAGCAAATTCCAGGTCTGGCTGCCTCTACGTTTTGCATACTTGCATTGTCACTGACTTAGACTTTCCTGCACATTTTTGCTATCTCTCAAACACAGCAGTTGTGTGGGACTGTGAGGCAATGGCTCCAAGAACTGGGTCAGCTATTACAAATGGTTATCTCCCTGTTACACACAGCAATCATAGTGTATCCACTTCTCCTTATGAAAACACATGCCTTGGGTTTGACGCCAGTACCTAGAGCCCTGGAATCATCTAGGCTACTATAAATCACACATTCACACTCTCTTTACAGATACCAAAGTTGAAGCCAACTGTTCTATATTTCCAAAGTTGGCTTTGTTCATTTTTATAGACTTACATTCTAAATCAGCCCTTTGTTCTTTTTCCCCATATCATGTTACCTATTCTCATAAATGTAAAGGCATTAATGCCACCTACTTCTAAGCTATTCCTTTAAATGCTATTTGAATCCTATACCAAGAGTCTGTGGACTCTCCTTCCATTGGTCCTACAATTTTTTATTCTATTTCCTGCTTTTTCCTTTGGATAAACATCATCACTCCTACGTAACAACCATCCCATCTTTCTCTTCATTTTCCTCTTTCATTTTTCTTTGCATCTTCTCTCCATCCTATTTCCTCTCCACACTATCACTCCACTTTAAGCCACTCTGTCTCAGCACCTTAGCTTCAATCACTCTGTTTTCACAATCCTGCAAGTCTCATTTTATTAAACAAGGGCTTAATTTTATCTTTCCCTTTCAACTCAAGTCCACATCTTGCTTCATCTCACATTATTTTCCCCTCTTTTCTTTACCTTTCCTTATTCTTCTATTGTCATAAACAGGGTGGCCCAGGCAGTCTGCCTTAAGTGATAAAGTTGGCAGAAGGAGGAGATATGGGGGTGCAGGGGCTGGAGGGACAAGGAAGAGCAGAGCAGCAGGTGAGGTAGGCTTCCCCATGACCACCCTCACATTCCCAAGTGCCTGACAGGAGGGAGGTCCAGAACTTAGGCAAAATGAAGAAGAAACAAGTGGTCCCCGTGGTTAGGCAAAGAGAGATGTAGCAACAGAAGCTGGCCGAGCCTTCTGAGCAGGCAAATCATAAGAGAAGAAATATTCATGGCCAATAACAATACAAAAAGATTCTCAGCCTCACTAGGAATCAGAGACATGAAACTGCCTATTATATAGGTAATGATTAAAAAGATGAACATTAAGTAGTGTTGGCGAGATTATGAGGAAACACTTTCAGACAGTGTTAATGATGGAGCAAGTTGACAGCTTTTCCACCTCACCCTTTGGCAACATATAGCTACACTTTAAACATCTACAGCCTTTGACCCTGCAACTCCAACCAGCAGGATTTAACCTAAGAAAATAATTAGATGATGAAACAAAGATATGGACATGAAATTATTAATAACCTCTGCCTTGTTTATATCATAAGAACAAGGTGGTGGTATGGGGGAGCTTGGCAAGGGGAGGCTGAGGGGAGGCTCATACCTGTGGAAGAGTGAAGGGGGAGAAAGACAAAAAGAGAAACAGAGGGGTATAAAGAGGACATGGGGGTCAGGGTGGAGAGAAAGGTTTGTTTGCAAGGGTGAGAAAGGAACGGAGGCTGGGGTCATGGGGTGGTGGGTGAGCTTAAGAGGAAAGTATGGGGAAGAGAAAAGGCAGAGAGAAGGAGGGAGAGAGATCTCTCCATCAAAGCACAGTCTACCATGGTATATCCATATCATGCAGACCTTACAGGGAATGGTGCAATCCTCTATATGAAATAGAAAGATGGTTAATTGGAAAGATCAGGATACAGAACAGCAAGCATAGTGTGATCCCATTCATCTAAAGTGATACATAAAGATAAGTGCAGCAAAGGGATGCCTACATGTACACCATGATTCTCAGTGAGTAGACTCTTCTGGTGGATTTAAGTTCTACTTCATGCATTTCTAGTTTGTCAGCATTTCGATAATTAATTTCTAGCAATATGCAATACACTAAAATTCTATATAATTTAGACAGACCCTTATACTTTCCTGTGAGAATTAACCAACATGAAAATAAAGTAGATGCAATTATACCACCTGCTTTTCATACTGCAGAAATGTTCTACTCTTCATGTGATAAATTTAAACTGCTCATTAAAATTTCATCTGTATAAATTTGTACTGAAAAGACAATGGAATTAGGCTATGAACACAGACATCACCCACCTAGCTATTCTTTGTCTAAATATTACATTTATCAGGCCCTACCACAAGGGACCTCGCCAGGACATTATCAAACCAAAGTACTTTTCATTTTGAAGTCACATCACACAGAGATATCAAAGAAAGCTGTCTTAATTCAGGTTTTCCCTAATTAAGCCCCTGACATATGAACTTGAGAACAGGTATATTAGTCGAGTGAGGGGAAAGTGAGACAGGGCAGGAGGGAAGCAAAACAAGAAAAAGTAAATCAATGAATGGGGTACTACGGCAGGCAACTGGGGTTCAGTCCTTTTGTGAGCCTTCTGAGAAACTGGGTAGGAGGAATCACAGAATTGTCCACTAGCCGTCAAGGAAGTCGGGGTGTTATCCTCATTGGTGGAGGCTTGCATTTCAGGCATTAAATTCTTGATACTTGCAGGCCATGGGAATATGGGCCTTACATGCTTACTAAGGCCTGTGGGTCAAACACAGTACTACAGGTTGAGTATCCTTAATCCCAAAAATCCAAAATCCGAAATGCTGTAAAACCCTAAACTTTTTAGTGTCGACATGACACTCAAAGGAAATGGTCATTGAAGCATTTCAGATTTTTTAATTATACGCTCAATTGGTAAGCACATAATACAAATATTCCAAAATCCAAAAACATCCAAAGCCTGAAACACTTCTGATTCCAAGCATTTTGGATAAGGAATACTCAATCTGTATTTGGATTATGTTTATTATCTCACCAAAACCTTACAACTCCATGGAGTATTGGCTCTACTGTACAGATCAGGAATCTGAGATGCACAAACATTAAGCCACTTGCTGAAAATCAGTGAATAAGCAGCTGAGCTGAGGTCCAAACCCAGTTTTGTCTCTTCCACTATGTGATACAGTGTCATAAAAACCACAGCATGTGAATTCTCCAGTACAGCTGGCATCTCCTTACTGGGTCACACAACCTGAGAGAGACATGTGAGCATTTCCAGCCTCCCTCCTTGCAAAGTAACGGTATTGAGATAGCTTCCCAGGTTGTTTGAATCTTCTTGCATCCATAGGAAAAACTTCCAGGTCATAATCCGCCAGCCATGTGAAATTTTTATAGCATCATCACTCGTGGTTACTCCTACCCTAAATACCAGTCACTATGAAATTTATGCCAGAATTCAGATCAAAGTATGACAGGAAATTCAAAGCAAATTTTTGTCTGATGAACTCATGGCAGAGAATTAAATTTGATAGAGAGTTCCAGGTTCTAGTATATTAAAAAACAATCTATAACTTTACTGTGAGGAGAACACTTTATTAGAACAAATAAAACATGCTAAGCTCTGCCCAGACACAGAGGTCATGCTAATGTGTGAGCCAAGGAAAGTCTTTTCTTGCTTTAGTAGAAAAGATAATAATCTGCAAATCACTAGCATCTGAGGCTGGCCTGATTTAAAATGCACATAGATGGAGAAAAAGTTCCAGGAAATCATTGTATTTATAGCTTACCTGCATGAGTCAGTGGAAAGGCCCTTGCTGCTCCCAAAATAATACTTGGGGCAGCACTGTACCCTATCACCTTCACTAAAGCAAAGGCATGCCTCTCATCTTCTATTCCTTAGGTTCCTTAGGAGGATATCTCCTACCTCACAAGAAGCCAGGGGAGCAGATAGGGCCCCTCTGGGCCTCCCCCACCTCCAGCCCAGCTACACAACAGCTGGCTCAAGAACATCCCATCCCCAGAAGCCCAGGGCAGCCCACCTGAAGGAGCCCGTGCCCTAGGACCCTCCACCAACCACCCAACCAACAGTCAGATTCAGAGTCCCCACAGCACTAAATCCTACAGGACACAGGATCTTCCCACAAGTGTAAAATGCAGGAGAAGGTTCTGGCTAGGCCTTAATCTCTAAGATCTTTCATAGAAGACCACACAGGCATCTGAGGAAATGACAGACAGCGATCTATCTTGTTCACAAATTACTAACGATGCAGAGAGTAAGACCCCAGCCACACACTCAGCAGGCTGCATGGAAGTGAAGCATTTTTATCCTCTTGGTAGAGAATTTCCTAATTCTTGATCCATAACAAGTGTGGGCAAGGCTCCAGACACATGTGCTACATATGTGTCTACAACTGTTTTCTCTCCCAAGAATACCATAGCCACGTGAAGACCTTCACGGGATGCGAAACTGCCAGGTCTGTTCTTTCTCCGGACTCACAGAGGCCTCTGTGGCAGACACACATCCGCTGGCTCCAACAGGAAACAGAAGGGTTTGGGGGCAAGGGGCACTTCACCTGGCACACTGGGCTGGAAGACTTTATTCAGATCCAAGGAGGAGGCTCTGGAATGGGTTTTCTGTGGCCGAGGTGGCGGGGTGGGAGGGTCCTCGCCCCTTTTCATGGCCTCTTCTATGGAGGTGCTAGAGTAAGATCTGTAGTAAAATAAGGGAAGGTCAGAAGGGAAATAGCAAAGCTTTACTCTCTGAAGTTGGGGTGAAATGGAAAATAACCACAAAGTCAAAGTGACTACAGAGAACTGATCAGTTACCAAAGCAGCCATAAATTCTATTACCCATTAAATGCCACTATGTACAATAATTGTCCAAATCCAACTATGAATTGGGATCTTTTTAACCTCTTTGTTCTTATTATACCTTAGATCTAAATCGACCCCCCCCAAAAAAAAAAAAAAAAAACTTTGTGTAAATTCAAATCCATTTCTATGGGAATTGTTAATAAGAAAAACACGGAGCCCTTCAGCTTAGGCATTTCCATGTTCTAACAGAAGGGCTTCATGGTATAAACTGATCAGAGAACTTTTCTCCTGTTCACTTGCAAATGTGATGACAGGTTCAAGTGGAATTGGGATAGATAAGCTGAGGGTAAGAATCCAATGTTCAGGGGAATATGCCACAAACGAAGCTAGGAAAGGAAAATACACATCAATCAGATTGAGGGGTCTAGTTTGTCTTTCCCTGAGAAAGCAAAAGTCTCATTTTTAACCTTCTTCCTCAATCTACAGCAAGGCATAATTAACTAGGCAACTTCTGAGATTGTAACTCCAGTAATATCATCTTTTTAAAAAGGAACTAAATAACTTGCAAAAGGTCAGACAGAAAGTTACACAGTTCGTTTCAAACTCCAATCTCTGTTTCTATATCCCATTTTAAAAACGTTTTCATACTGCCTATGAGTCAGGGGGGAAATACTTTGGTGATAGCAACTAGAATATTTATTGAAGACCTACTTACTTTCCAAATAAAATTCAACTCCATACACTGCTTAGAAATAGGTTTAAGGATGGGTTCCCAATATGATGACTGCGAAAAGGCCCTAAAATGTAGATGTATACATCTATTGTATTTAGCTTCTCAACTAGCTTCATGTCAAAGCAGAAAACGACCTTTGAGTCAGAGGTACATCCTAGAGACAAATTAACCTCTGAAAACCATTCTTCATACTTAGCTATTAGAGTGGCATTTAGGAAATTAGAATATATCAGTTACTATTAAACCCCTTCAGTTCTTGACAGAGCTGTTTTTGACATCATGAGTTTTAATTTTCCTGAATAAGTTTCTCAAGGATTCTTTCTGGTAGTTGAGGGTTCTGTCTGTCTTAAAGATTGCAACTTTAATAAAGCCACCATAATAGCATGTGACGTGTTCTGGGGTGGGCCCTGTAACATAACTAGCAAGAGAGACAAGGCAACGGCAGGCCGAAACTAGCAGGGAAGAATGCTCTGACTCTTTCAACAAGAATCAAAGGGAACTGATACGGACGGACAAGGTTCTTACATGGGAACGCTTCACTTAAAAAAGACAATTAGAGACCCTAGCTAGAAATGAAAAGAACTTTCTATGCCACATATAGCTTTTGTGACATCTTTCACTCAAAAAAGAAATAATGTGTGTGCAAATAATGTGTATGCATGCACACAGTTAAGCACACAATCCCATAGCACACATTCCTCGTTTTCATTTTATTTTCATATATAACCTGTATGTTTATATCTTCATATGGAAAGTTACTGAATATAAAATAAGTGAAATTGTATAACCATGACTGCTGCAACCAATTAAAACATAAATGTGTAGGGAGTTAACAAAATGATGAATGCAGTGGTGTTAAAATGGTGATTTTCCCTCTTTTCCTTATATTTCTACAAAACTTTAATATTTCAAAAAAGAGGATAAAAATAATTCAATTCTCTTCTTCCCAGTGAGAAGTAATGAAAATAAAATCCTCCAAATTAGACCAAAAGCACAATCTCTGAAAGGATAATATGTAAAATTTAGCCAGACACATTAATAATAGAATATGTGGCTATGAGATTTTATAATTTCACTGGCTTTCAGGGAGAGAGGAAGTCAGCAGAAGCTAAAACTTTGAGGTTCGATTTATGGTTAACATAGTACACATAACAGATTTCTGCAATTCAATGGCAATTCCTACTATGAAAGCATATCCCAAAACTAGTACAGACTAGTTTGTAAAAGATCCATTCATCCTTTTAAAAAGGATGAGTAAATGTGTTGACCACAGAAAGAATGCCTATACCTTTTCTTCCTACCTAAAAGAATTACTCTATTGTTTTTAAATATAGACAAATATAAAAATATAGATATCTGTATCTTACATAAACAAGGAAACAAAAACCCAATTTGGAAAATGCAGATAGAAACTAAAGGATAACTCTTTGACTTACAAAGAGATGAGGTTCCTTAAATATCAGTATTTCAAGCATATTAAATATGATCAGACTTAAATTTACTTTTTCAGGATTGTGTCTAGTAGGCAAAGGAGGGGAAAATGTCTCTAAGAGCCAAAGCAAAACAGAAAACACACACATGGTATCCTTGGTATCCTATCTTACACTGCAGTTCTACCAGTGAAATACAGTACCAATACCATTTCCCTTCCTTAATGGATTAATTCTATTAGTGTCTCTGTATTTCCCCTCTGCGCCTCTTTTCTGAGTATCACATCAACCGCAGCTCTGCCTTACTGGCTTTCTCTCTTTTAATAGCCTCTTTAAAAATGTGAAGCCGAGAGGGGCACTAAGATAGGCTCAAACAGACCATAAACATTGCTTACCTGAAGCTGCAAGCTTCACTGAAGTTATCACAAGCATTTTCTTTCCCTACTCTAGATTTTATTACCCAGACTTTTTACTTTTTGGTGTTCACCTTGTCATGATAGCAAATTTTCGTGTTTGTTACCTTACCCATATTTTCCTCTTTCCAAAGCTACTTCCCCCTATTAGTTATCATCTTGCAACAACTGGGTCATCTCACACAATCCACTTCATGTTGAGGGGCCATAGGGCACTAGTGACCACCTTCTAGCACTAGTGACCACAGAAACCAAGGCTCCCAGCATTACTGCATGTTCCCATCAGGCCACACATGAGTGAAATGGATCATACCCTAAGCTTTACATCTAAAGGAAGAGGAAATCATGGGTTGGGTTTTTGGTTTGTGGTTCTTATTTCTAGGCAGGGGGCAGGGCACAAAGGGCATTAAAGCAGAAATTAAATGAACACTACCTGGATCTTGGTCTTGCTTTGAGACTGTTGGAATCCTTGGAAGTTGCTGAAACAAAGATTATTTGTTGTTTGCTTGGGTTTCATTTCTGCAGTTAAACAAGTTTATATGCAGCACCTGGGCTAGTACAGAACACATCAACAGGCAAATGTGAGGTAAAAATGCCCATGTGGAGAACTGGACATCTCCCACATTTTCATGATTTCCTTGTTTTATTTCAAAATCTAAAGGAACGATTAAAAGGAAAGAAAACCCAGCATATTTTTCCTTTGGTCAGAGCACTATTTGAGAGGCCATTCTCAAATTCAAGTTGATTAATGAAGACATTCCAGTATAAAAAGACAACCCCTTTCAAGGGGGTTGTCTTTTTTATATAATGATGGATTCACACTTGAGGGTTTCTTGGTCTATCATGATAGTCTAGTAATAGATTTTGAACCAGTCTACCCTGAAGGATAGGAAGAAGTCTATCTAACTACATTAAAAAACAAAACAAAACAAAAAACAAAAAAACACTACCAGAGCAGCATGGCCACAAAAAAACAAAGCTCTCACAATAAGTGGAAATGAGCTATACAGCTTCTCCTGTAAGAAAATATCCTTGTGTCCCACATCTCTGTGACCAAATCATACAGAGAATTATGAAAAAAAATTGCTGAATCTTTTCCCAGCCATATGACTTTTCCTCATCAAATTTAAATCATAAACTAACTTGCTCACTGCCAACACCCATAGAGCCTTCTTCCCCATCACAAGTTGTGAGGCGTAATTAGAAACATTTACAAAAATGCTGATCCTCTTTTTATGCTTTCAATCCTCTATGGAAGACAACTTTAGGAACCAGTAGCTATGCTCAGGTGTTGCAAACATTGCAAATTTTTCATCATAAAATGTCATTTAAAATCATAGAAAAGGTGCTAGTAACACAGAACAAGAAGAATGTAATTTCTTTGTTTGCATGAATTCTTCCAAAAAGAAAATGTCTCACTGCATTATCTCATCCTCTTTTGCATTGCTCCAAAGATAAAAACCCTCCTTGGTATGAAGCAGCCTGAATTTATGATGATCATTAAAATCCTTGGGTTAGGTAACAGGGCAGAGAGGGGAGGCGAAAATCCTCATAAATGCTAACAAGGCACAAAGCAAACTACTGGTCAGCTGCACAAGAGATGCACTTCTCCCAACCCAAGCATTTTGGCTTGTTGTAGTGAGAACACAGGGGTCTTCCAGCTTCAAACAGCTGAAATGCTGCCAGAGTGCAGGAAAGCCCGGAAAACCCAAGAAGTTTGAGTCCTCTTTTGCCCATTATCATGCACCTGCACCTGGATATGGACAGAAAAAGATCTCCCTCCCTCCTACAAACCCCAGGCAGCAAAGAAAGCGGCCTCAGGAAGCCTCTCTCCCAGCCCAGGAGGCTGCCTTGGGGCTGGGTGGACAGAGTGGACCAGACTCACCGCAGAGCTGGGGAAGCCCTCTGCGCAGGCTGCCTGCAGCTGGCTCCATGGCCCTCTTCTCCCTCAGGCCCCACTGCTTTCAAGAAATACGTGGGTAGGAGAGGTCCCGGACATGATAAAATACTGTTCCCCAAACCAGACCATGGTGACTGTTAATTCCTTTGTCAACTGCCATTATCTTTGTCTTTTTGCTGGTAGGGATGGGTGTGGAAGGAGGGGTGAGCCCTGCTGGTGAGAGATAGACAGACAGACAGACAGATGGGGTGAGGGTTTGGATGAGTAGTGGAGAGACAGGACTAGAGACCAGGCCAGGAGTCCTGAAACTAAGGCCCTCCTCCTGGCCATGACACTAACTAGCTGTTACTTCCCTGAACCTCAGTCTCCTCACCTAGAAAACAAAGGCAATAAAAATGCAGTCTCTTTCTCACAGGGACAGATATGGTGAAAGTACTTTAAAAACTGAATGTACTTTAGAATTGCAAAATACTACTATTGTAGAGTGCATAAATAAAGGTTCCTAATTTTTCAAGCCTGGAAATGTGGTTTCTAAATTTAGTTCCTTCTAGGACAGCAAAGGAGGTTCAGGTGGGAGCAGGTAACAGAAGGACAGAACTGCTCTACCCCAATAAAAACATGGGGTGATAGTTGGCAATGGAGCAGCTGTTAGAATCACCAACAGCAGTCTAAAGACAGCACTGTGAGGGTGAACCAGCTGAAAACACCTCAACATGGGCCAGAGACATCAAGAAAAAGACCATCATTGTGCATGGTGCTCTGTTGAATTAGGTTGGAATGGGATATTGGTTAAAAAAATCTCTTAAGACTCCGCTAATATAGACACTCTCAGCAATTACAACAAATGGATCATAGCTTCTCGTGTAGCTGGAAAGAGGAATGCCAACTTCCTAGAACACTCAAGGCATGTCATCTTTCCAGGAAATGGGAACAGAAAGAGGAGCAGGCCTAGAGATTAACCCTCCAAAAGGCAGCAACTGAACTGAGGTACACATGGCAAGGACAGCCATCCAGAATTCTAAATCACCACCTTGAAACTCTTGTGTCTCCCACTGGGAATCCAAACATTTCCCAGAAAAGGGGGGATTAACTATGTTTAAGATGAGGAACTCCCTCACACCCAGAGAGGGGCAGTAGTGGGAAAAACAAATCAGAAAACACATAGCATGCTCCCAGGCACAATGTGAAATCAATTCCCACATACTTCCCATGCTGTGGCACACCTGTTGAGTTTTATTTGGTGATGCCATGTCCTAGTCAATGAAGGAATGTTTAAAATGAGATCTAAAGCTCATGCCCCAGATGACACTTGATCTTGTGCTAAAATCCCTTAAAAAAAAAAAAAAGTAGGAAGAGTTATGATACTTAAAGGCTGTTGGAGAAGCACCAATTTAACACTCCAAATTTAAACAGCTTTTACTAATACGACAACATGAAGTTTACGAAACTGGAATGCATCCACTTTAGCTCCAGAAATAAGAGCTAGAAAGAACTGCCCCAGGTGTTGGCCTACATTAACAGAACATTTCACCCAATAAGGAATGAATTCAAATCTGTTTCAAAAGTCAAAATTAAGCTTCGGAATTCCCATCACTTTTGGAGTCATGGTTGATCTATAACCTTAATTTTCTATTTTGTAGCATCACCTTCCACAGCTGGTGGTTCCCAAAACAGGCTATGTACCAGAACCAACTGGGGAGCTGCCAAAAAATACAGTTTCTCAGGCCTCCATAATTGAAATCCATCATCCACATTCATTCATATTTATTCTCATTCTCATATTCTCTCTTTCTCCTTCCCCCTACCGTATTTTTCTCCCACTCCTCCAATTCCTTCCTCTCCCTCCACCCATCTCTCTTTGAAACTCTGAATGAACTTGACATTTGGGAAATATTGTACCACAGCATAAGCCTCAACATTATATTGATTCCTCTGTTCCAGCGTTCAACAAATAAGCCCAGGATGATAGCTAGCTTATCACAACAAACATGATTGACTTATTTAAAATATGCAAGAAAGATAACAGCAAAAGAGAAAGCAACAACTTCTTTCATGTTCTTATAACTAGAGCTCCAAATAGTAATGTCTTCTGTAGTCACTTTGTTTTTAACTAGATTCAACTTGGTTCAATGATGGCTCCATCAACAGAGAGCTGAGGACACAGGGGCAGCCATTCTCCATGACTCCACAGATACAGGTCTGACTCTCCAAAAAACTGGACAACTTTTATTTTTCTTCTTGGAATTCACTCCATATATAAGCACATATAGTTGCCTTCCTGGTGGTGAAGTATAATAAAAATAATTGAGATTTCTGCTTTGGAAATGGAAAATACCAACTCTGGGCCTCCAATTGATCTACCCCATAAGTTTCTTACTCTACACAAAACCCAAAATGCCTTGTTGAAATCATCTCAGCCTCAAGCCTTCTCAAGTTTGCACTTAGTAACATGACCCTATATTCACACGGAGTGATCCTTTCAGTGAAACTTAAAAACTTGAAAAGATATCACCCTGTTCTCATACCTGAAAAGAGAGAAAGGGTAAAAAGCCAAAAGGTTTCCTTGTAATAAAATACAAGACAAATAAATAGAAAGAAACAGACACACTATCACAGAGGTATCAATCTTCTACTCACTGACTTGCTGTTTTTTATTTAAAAATAATTATATAGAAAGTATACAAAAATGGTTTTCTCCTACCTGGATCCTCAGACACGTCCTTTGATAAGGCTTCATTGATAGTACTTTTCAAAGCTAGTGGTGTTTTGTTTTTTTAAGCAACAAGAAAGGGAAAAGAGGAAAAAAAATTGAAACTATAAAATGTCATTTCTGAGGCAAATTGGATTAAAACAAAGAATTGCTAGTCATCACTTACAAAAACAGGTCTCACAAACCTCTAAAAGTTGCTATAGCATTTACTAAAACAATAAAGACCTCCTGGAGTATGGAAATAGGTTCTCCTTCTACAAAGAGCAAAGATGTATTTTCAACTTCCCAGAGACAGCACCTCAAGCAGATAGGAGGAGTATTACCAGGAAGTATTGGGAGTTTCTCCCTCTTTCATTTCTGACACCCAGACTGATGACGTGAGAACCCCTGGTTGTGCAATCCAGGTTTCAATATTTTTATAGTTTGCCCAGTTATTCCACTGTAGTTAGGAGAATGGTCAGAGTACATGCTACCGCAGACAATGTCCACTTCTACCTGTCTTTCCCAAACAAGTATTTAAATAGAGAACATGCAATTACTGTCGCTTAATGGAAAACTTATTTTTCATGTTTAGCCCCCATACAATGCCTAATCAATGGCAGGCCTCAACAATAAAACCTGAAATAGCTTCACTGATTTTTAGTCCCTTCAAATAAGCCTCTTATTCATGGGTAGTAAATCAATATCAAATAACAGGCAGAATACTGGCTTGAGGCTTAGAAAAAATCTTGGGTTTTGTCCCAAATCTTTTTCTTAATAACTAGGCAAATGATTCATAGTGTCTGAATTTTAGTTTACTCATCTCTAAATTTCAGGTGATAAAACTTACCAGCCTCCATTCAGTTTTGAGAGGACTGAATAAGACAGTATATGAGGAAGGACCTGGTAGATTATAAAGCACTATACAAAGTATAGGAGGTGGGGGAGAGGGTCCCTCCCACACTTCTAGATATTCCCAGGCCAACTCATCCCTGGGAGTAGCTCTAACACAGAATGCTGTGCTGCACTGCTTCTCAGCTGCCCAGTAACATAGGAAAATTATAGCTGGGTTCCATGTCACACTCCCACACTCACAAAGACAAGAACAGATAAACGCTAAGGACAAAAGCTCTGTCCAGAAGAGAACTTCCTCATGGATTAGAACGGTGTGCAAATGTGCATTTACACTGATGTCTGGGATCACATCTGCAAACACATGTTAAGCACTCAATTCGTTCAGCTTCCAGTCATTTCCTAATTGCCATGATCAGATTCTAGTGTAAGGTGTTAAGAGTAGCCTGAGGGTCAGCAAAGACTAAAGGGCCAATGAGTTGGAAGACTCTGGACACTCAAGCTCTTGCTACCACTTTGTGAACTACTGTTTTATGACAATGATTTGAACTACTTAATCTATCCAAATGTGTTTACATGCTGAGAACCACCCTCATATGCTCTAGAAGCCACCATTCCAAGAGGAGTAGATAAGATAACAGAGGTAGAACGTTGGTTAAGGAAGAAAACTGATTCTTTTCCTACCTTGTTTGTCATCACTAGTCACATCCTGGGTAGGGACAGGAAGGTCAGCCATGTCTTTAACAGATGTCTTCTTTGAAAAAGAAAAGTAAATGAATTAAACTGGTTGGAACAGAAATTAAGTGATGCACACATATGATGAAAAAAAAATTTTTTTTTTTTTTTTGAGATGAAGTCTCGCACTGTTGCTCAGGCTGGAGTGCAGTGGCTTGATCTCGACTCACTGCAACCTCCACCTCCCGGGTTCACGCCATTCTCCTGCCTCAGCCTCCCGAGTAGCTGGGACTATAGGCACCCACCACCACGCCCGGCTAATTTTTTGTATTTTTAGTAGAGATAGGCTTTCACTGTGTTAGCCAGGATGGTCTCGATTTCCTGACCTTGTGATCCGCCCGCCTCAGCCTCCCAAAGTGCTAGATTACAGGCGTGAGCCACCGCGCCCAGTCGAAAATATCTTAAAAGCTATTATTTCTTGCCAACATTTCCGTCTGCAGTAAACCCTGCATTTAATACTATCTTATTTTTTTTAGGTTCCTAGTGAGGTGTATGTTAATTTGTATTGAAATTTTACATACACAGAGGAAAAATATGATTCAGATTAAGGGACATGTATTAAATCTGAATTCAGACTGGGATTCAGCCACAGAATTGCATAGCAACTCTTGTCCATTTGGCCAAGAACAAACCTGTCCTTTATGTATTTTTTCACAAACACAAAGAAGTTCTGACAAGTGGCCCCACAATGTGGGTGTTTGCCAAAATCTGTCATGCAGATGGTGTCTAAACCTGATTAAAACAGCCTTCTTGTTATGGGATAAAAGAATTTTACGATAAGCAGATTAACATTTTCTCCTAATGCAAACGGGGGGAAGTCCTCACTTACACTAATGTGAATACCCAAATCTATTAAGTATGAATTAGTTTTAAACCGTTTAAAATCTACTTACTGTAAATTTATTTCTTATAAATTCTCAATTTAACACACATTCTAACTATAGTTAATAACAATGTATGGTATATTTGAAAACTGCTAAGGGAATTGATCTTAAATGTTCTCACCACACCAAAAAAAAAGGTAACTATGTGAGAGGTGACAGATATGTTAATTAGTTTGATTGCAGTAATCATTTCATATACACAGATCAAAACATCGTAAATATATATTTTTGTCAATTATACCTCAAAGCTGGAAAAGAATATGCACTCTAAGGCCTATAAGATTAAAGAATAATATATATTCACATTTGCTTTATTTATATACACAAACTCTGGAAAGATATGTAAGAATTGAAAGGTGACTTGGTAGATGGAAGACTTGTCATCATATGCCTTTTGATACTGTTTATATTTAAAACATAGTCACAAATCAAATAAAGATAAATTGTAACATTTATCTTGAAGGAAAGAGAGCAAATTCCTGGAGCCATCTGGTGTTCCAAAAAGTTAATTGGTTTACCTCTCAGAACCTAAACAACCCCAGAGAGATAAGCAACACTTTTGTTTTAAACTGTTGTTTTAAACTATTCCCAAGAAAGAGACCGAAGTATTACTTAGTAGAAAACTGGTCTAGGATTTAACAGTCTTCACTCAAGTAATTGTTTGTTTGTTTGTTTGTTTGTTTTTGAGATGGAATCCTGCTCTGTCCCCCAGGCTGGAGTGCAGTGGCACAGTCTTGGTTCACTGCAACCTCCGCCTCCCAGGTTCAAGCGATTCTCCTGCCTCAGCCTCCTGAGTATCTGGGACTACAGGCACGTGCCACCACGCCCGGCTAATTTTTTGTATTTTTAGCAGGTGATAAAACTTACCAGCCTCCATTCAGTTTTGAGAGGACTGAATAAGACAGTATATGAGGAAGGACCTGGTAGATTATAAAGCACTATACAAAGTATAGGAGGTGGGGGAGAGGGTCCCTCCCACACTTCTAGATATTCCCAGGCCAACTCATCCCTGGGAGTAGCTCTAACACAGAATGCTGTGCTGCACTGCTTCTCAGCTGCCCAGTAACATAGGAAAATTATAGCTGGGTTCCATGTCACACTCCCACACTCACAAAGACAAGAACAGATAAACGCTAAGGACAAAAGCTCTGTCCAGAAGAGAACTTCCTCATGGATTAGAACGGTGTGCAAATGTGCATTTACACTGATGTCTGGGATCACATCTGCAAACACATGTTAAGCACTCAATTCGTTCAGCTTCCAGTCATTTCCTAATTGCCATGATCAGATTCTAGTGTAAGGTGTTAAGAGTAGCCTGAGGGTCAGCAAAGACTAAAGGGCCAATGAGTTGGAAGACTCTGGACACTCAAGCTCTTGCTACCACTTTGTGAACTACTGTTTTATGACAATGATTTGAACTACTTAATCTATCCAAATGTGTTTACATGCTGAGAACCACCCTCATATGCTCTAGAAGCCACCATTCCAAGAGGAGTAGATAAGATAACAGAGGTAGAACGTTGGTTAAGGAAGAAAACTGATTCTTTTCCTACCTTGTTTGTCATCACTAGTCACATCCTGGGTAGGGACAGGAAGGTCAGCCATGTCTTTAACAGATGTCTTCTTTGAAAAAGAAAAGTAAATGAATTAAACTGGTTGGAACAGAAATTAAGTGATGCACACATATGATGAAAAAAAAATTTTTTTTTTTTTTTTGAGATGAAGT